TCTGCCCGATGTAGACCTTGCCGCACTCACATGGAATTCTGTAAATTCCCGGTGTCCTCAGTCCCAGGTGATCCTTGACAGACCGGAGGAAATTAGATATTTTATTTGGGGGCAGGCCAACTGATTTGATGTTGTGTCGGGACAGCACTCTGCTGATCCTGTTGAATATAGTCCCGACAAAGGGCAAGAAGGCGACAGTTTCTCTGCGGTCATCAGGTTGATTGCTGTTGGGATGGCGGTTGAGGGCCCTGTGGATCTGCCGGTCGTTATAGCCATTGTGTCTGAAGATATCCTTCAGGAACTCCAACTCCGCATGCAAACTCTCTTGATCACACAGAGCTCTGGCCCTATGTACCAGTGTGGACAGAGCTGCCTGTTTACTGGAAGGGTGATGATGGGACTTGGCATTGAGATAGAGGTTTGTGTGTGTCGGTTTGCGGTATACTGTATGGCCTAGAGAGCCGTCGGATCTCCTGTAAATATCTATGTCTAGGAAGGGGAGGTGGCCACACCAGTTCTTCGTCATGTCATTGACGTCAATAGCCTGTCCCCAAGGTTCTTCTTGTCTACCGCACTTCCTAGCGCTATTGACTTCAAGGTTCCTGGATCCACTGGCCGTTCCCCCCACCCTTAGTCAACACAACACCATATATGGTCTCAATCGCTCCCCACTGCTCCCATTGGTCCGTTCTCCCTAACCAACCACCCCCTGCCTACTTCATATATAAGCAGCGACTTTCACATCCTATCACTACAGCTACTGCACTCCGCATTCCAAGCCATTCAACTGCTCTGAAGATGGAGGCGCTAAGTTCCTCCGAAACGTCGGCCGAAACGAAGAATACACGGTGCCTAAACCCAGAAGACGACTTTCTTCATTGTCATCGCAGTGAAAAACCTCAAAACTTACATGTGACTTAATTCTTTTTCTCTTGTAAGTGAACATTGATCACTTTTATGTCTTTTGTATGTACAAACATATTTTGAGTTGACTCAAAATAAAAATAACACCTACAGATAACAGTTTTGAATGAAAATGCTGAAAGCGAGGTCTTGTGCACACCTGGCAAGCTGCTTTGGTATCCCTAGGGGCACAGTTTGAGGAACACTGTTTTAGAGAATCACTGTACATAGTGCATGTAATTTCTAGCTGATTAATAGCTGCTGTATAGTGGTCTGGCTTCTAGAACATGGGCAAGAAGGGAATGGTTACTTGGATTACTTTAATATTAATGTGATGTAACTGTTTACTCATTGCAGCAACATACAAACTGGAATGTAAACAAAGGTAAAATAATAGAAACATGAGAGGTGTAATGTAGGAGCCGGGATAGTGACAGGTTATGGGCTGGACGACTGAGTGGTTGGATTTCGAGTCCTGCTAGGGTCAAGAATTTTCTCTTCTCCATGTCATCCAGACTGACTCTGGGGTCCACCCAACTTCCTATCTAATGGGTACCGGGGACTCTTTACCTGGGGGTAAAGCAGCCGAGGTGGGAAGCTGACCACTTACCTCCAACTAGTGCCAAAGTCAAGAAAATGTGGATCTATACATCCACTTCCCCATACGCTTTCATGGCATAGGGCTTAATTAGTTAAGCACAAGGACAACTTTACCTTTACCTTTATAAGAGGTGTAATGTGACGAATTCTCTGAGCTGGCTTAGTGCAATTCTTGATGTTGGATTCTTATGAACATCATAATGAGCTTTTGGGTTCCGTAAGATGTGGAGTGTCTCATGCCAGCTGAACAGTTGCTCATCATTTTAAGGAACATGTCATGGAGTCTGGTAATTAGTAATATGTGTTGTCACATATTGTGTTCCTTCTTCAGGTCTTTCTTGATCTTGGCGAAAGACATCTTATTCGTCCAGACAATATCAAGAAAGGACACCTGCTTGGTCGTGGTGCATTTGGCTTTGTGTTCAAAGGAACTTGCAAGCTTCGTGGTTCTAATACATACATAGACGTGGCTATGAAGATGCTGCAGCCTGTTCAACCAGGTCCCAATGCCCGACAGTCTGCTGTGATAGCTTACAAGGTAAGAAATGTAAAAGTGCCAGTTTTCAGAACATTTTATACTGTGTACTAGGTAGTTAATAACTAAGGGGGTATTGTGTCCCTATAATAAGGCTTTAGGTTGCCATGATGTTTATGGTGTTTTGAAGGTACTTTCTGCTACCTTCAAGGCTCTGCAACAGACAGTCAAACATGACTCCATGGTGAGATATAGCTGGTATTAATCATGACAGTACACATGTCACTCTTAGTAATTTGTTTGCACTTGAAAATATCTCTTTAAGTTCATAATTGATATTGAGAGAAGTTATTAGTTTCTGTCATATGTTGAATTATGTATTATACCGTTTTATGATCTCTGTGACTGAACAAAACAAAGGAAGGTTATTCACATTTTTTCAGTTGTTCATTCTTTGTATGTTGATTATTATGATAAGCTCATTTCTTGAAGTATCGGTCATCATTGGTAATGCAGTACAATGTATTTCATAATACAGGGTGATTTTTTTAAATGAGAAGCCAATGTTGAGCACATTAATGACATATATTAGAGAGTTAGGGCCATTTTTGTGAAATTTGTATGTGCAGTTTGGTGATTCTTTCAAATGGAAAGTTTATTCAAAGTAAGGCATTTATAATACATTTTATTACAAAAATTTTGAAAAAAGGCACCAGTATGTTGCATACATAACTGAGCATGACAAAGCATGTTTGTACATACTGCCTGCATTGCCATGGGTGAGATATCAGCAATGATGCTTAATATTTGGTTTCCAGTTCATCCAGATTGTACAGGTTTTTGTGGTAAGCATTGTCTTTATTGTAGCCCCCACAGAAAAGAGTCTGGTGGTGCCAATTCTGGCAATTGTGGGTGCTGTAGCCTTTTCAAAAAGATTCAGTCTCAGAACAACAGGGATAACTTGCACATAGTCACCCTGCTGTATGACATATTGTGGCCTACATCTCTCAGATGTGACATGATTTGCATACCTAACACTGGGTTCTTGTTTAAGAAAATCACCCTGTAAAATTGTAATCAGTATTTTCTTGCTCTTGTGTGGAATATTGAACATCATTCTGAGTGGTAGATGTGACTTTTTGCAGGCAGCTCAGGGGAAATGGGATCGAGACCCACTCCAGTATGCTTGTAAAGCCTACTGTACTGCTAGGCAAGAGTTAAACATTCTCCTGAGCTTACGCCACCCCAATATTGTGCCTCTAGTGGGAGTCTGTACACGACCCCTAGCCCTGGTATTGGATCTGGCTCCACAAGGGGCACTAGACACCACTCTGCGGCATTATCGACGTTCTGGTGCTCGTGTTGGTCCATATTGTCTCCAGGCTATCATATTGCAGGTACTGCTTGTCTGAATCAAATATGTATATATCCCATTTTAACTTTAATCCTAAAAGGCGACATAAAATTGCAAACATACAATTTAATAGAAAAATAAGTAAGATCTCAAAGTCTGTGACGATGTTACATTAGTACAAACATTATGTTTTTGGACATTATCCATCATCCTGTTTATTTTTCAAAACACAACGTTTTGGAGATTGGATTGGAACTTGGTCTTTGACATTAAGACAGGAACGTAGACTGAGGGTGTTTGAGGACGGTGCTGAGGAGAATATTTGGACGGAAGAGGGATGAAGTGATAAGAGGTTGCAGAAAACTGCATAATGAGGAGTTTCATAGTGTGTACTCTTCTCTAAGCAGAATTAGAATAATCAAGTCAAGGGGGGTGATAGGGCACATAGCATGCATGGGAGCGAAAAGGAATGCATATAGGATTTTGGTGGGAAGGCCGGGAGGAAAGAGACCACTGGGAATACCTAGACATAGGTGGCAGGATAATATAAAAATGGATGTTAAAGAGATAGGATGGTGTAGTATGGACTGGATTGATCTGTCTCAGGACAGGGACTGGTGGAGGACTCTTATGAACACAGTAATGAGCCTTGGGTCCCATAAAATGTTGGGAAATTCTTGAGTGGTTGAGCGACTGGTATCTTCTCAAGAAGGACTCAGCTCCGTATAGTTAGTTATGCTATAAACCATTTTCCAGATTGCTGAAATTCAACATGGCAGGCTTCCACTGAAAGTTGTCAGACAATTCTGAATATCAGCCATGTTGATCTGTGATAAATGGAATGGGATTGAAGTGTTTATTCTCACTTGCCTTTTCCAGTAATTAAATTCTGGAGTGTCTAAAATTTATTCACAAGAGAATTATTTTCCAAAACAAAGCAAACAAACAAACTCTGTGGCATGTAGTCTGCAAGCAAACTATACCGATCGAGCAACCGCTGCTTGTCGGCGAAGGTAGTGCCAACTTTTGTGGATAGAGGGTGTTTTGTGGTCAGCGTAATGGATCCCCATGGCCATTAATCTCAGATTTCTAGACTGGAGCTGCTATTTCCTTGAAATAGCCGCTCAATTATCCTCATGAGGCTGAGTGCACCTTATTTTCAAAAGATATATGCGAAAAATATTTGTTTAATGTTTCTGGACTGGATTCTAAAATATAAAGAATGGAGTGCCTTTAAATCCTTATCACTTGTAATTCCCGCTGAATTTTATTTTATTAATAAACTATTTATAAATTTCATGATTTTAAACTACACTTTGGATCATAATATAGATACAGAGATATTTTGTGGCTTCTGCTGTTACAGGTTGCGAAAGCCATTGAGTATCTACACCAACAACATATTATTTACCGTGACCTCAAGTCTGAAAATGTTTTGGTTTGGGAAATGCCTCCTCCATGCCATGATACTTCTGAACACAACCCTGTACATGTGAAGTTAGCTGACTATGGTGTGTATTATAGCCATCCAATTACAATTCCATTTTCTGTGTATGAGAGATTTTAGCTATTTTAAGCTTTCTGATAATCTTTGTTTCTGTACTACAGGAATCAGTCGACTAACGTTACCATCAGGAACAAAGGGATTTGGTGGCACTGAAGGTTTCATGGCTCCTGAAATCATGCGATACAATGGCGAAGAGGAATACACTGAAAAGGTAAAAGTAGAATTCTACATGGTCAATTATATTCTGATACGATAATAAGTATTACACTAGGTATCAGAATAATGTATAAATAATTGAATGTTACAGTACAGTAGTTATCTGGGGTCCCAGGTTCAATTCTCAGCCCGGGGACTAGTCATCATGACTGAGTGGGGGTGCCCCAAGTTCTGCAGGGAAAATTCTAGGATGGTGTGGCAAGACTGTTTTTTCTCATCTTCTTTTTCTTGTTTTTCTTCCTCCCTTCCTCATTTTCCATTTCTCCTCTTCATCTCTCATCCTCCCACTCTCTGCTTCTCCTTCTTCCCTTGACATTTCCATTTTTAAGTTGGTCCTCTAACAACGGAGCCCCTCCATCTGTCACTGTTTTCCCAAAGCTGCCGCTCCTCAGTATCCTCATATGTCCTTTCTTTCTGTGACACCTTTCCTCACTTGTTGTTCCCGTATTGATATCAGTTTTCCTCTTTTTTTTTATGTTCAGAACCATCTTTAGCAATCCCACTTCATTCCTTTTTAAAATCTGCATATATCATCTTATTCTGATATGTCCATGATTTATTTAATCCGTCTTGCAGTGCATACATTCATTTATCTCCTTCTTTCCCTCGCACTACATGTTTCGGCATAATAATGCCATCTTCAGGTGCTTACTTGTCCACGTCAAACCAGTTCATTGCATGCCATGTTCACACATTAAAATAACTAAAATATGTATCTATCATATACATTGTCAAACGTTAAAAATATTAAAATTGTTCAGGATACCACATCGCTACGTCGCCCCTCACTACGTCAGTCACGCCCATTCTCCTTTGTTGGAGCACTCCTTCACTATCTTGTGTGTTGTGCTTTTGTTGTGTCGTGCTCCTGCGACTGTGTGTCGCAGTGAAAATAAGCATTCAAACGGTACTGAAAGTATTGCGTTTCAGTGTCTTCAAGGTAACATTTTATAATAGTATCATCTAATGTTTGTCTTCTTTGTTGACAGGTTGACTGCTTCTCCTTTGGCATGTTTATCTATGAGCTGCTGACATTGCACCAGCCATTTGAAGGCCATGAATCAGTGAAAGAATGTATTCTTGAGGGTGGACGTCCTCCACTTACATGTAGGGTAAGTGTTTTTGTTGACTGTCTAGAAGAATTCACACCCTAATATATTACTGTGGTGAAATTTCCTCTGTATACTAAAATGTAGGTCTAAAAATGTGTAATCAACATTAGAATGGAAGTTTTCCCAACAATTGGAGTACGTTTTATAAATGTACGATGTATATGAAAATTATATTTGTTAACCATATTTAGCATTTAATTTTTTTTCTGCTGAATTATCTTATTCACTGTTTCCATCTACATGTGATCTAGATGAGATATCTTGCAAAGGTACAAGTTGCAACATGCTCTGTCTCTAGAATTTTTGTTGAGCAGTGTGGTCAGGCTCTCATATGTTGCATACACAACTTCTCTGTAAAAGGACACAGCACTTTATGCTTTTTATGTGATATCCCACCCCCAGATTTTTATCCCTTCTTTGATTCTTAATACTTTATAGAAACTCCACTTCTACTAAGATTATCATCTTCAAAGATGAACTCCGTTTAGTCTGGTTGGTTATATTGACATTTCAGGGGTCTCTGCTGTGTCCATTTTTTGGTTCTGTACTATTTTGAGATGCAGAGAATGGAAGAGACAGGTTCCTCTGAAATGCTGGTACATTTCTACCAAATTGAATGGTGTCTTATCCCAGGAGTACCTCACATCTCATTTCTGCGCATGTAATTTGCTTACTCTTCTCCATATGTCAGAATAAGCAAGTGATGTGTTATGTATAACATAACTTTAATACTTTATGTGACTCCCTCAATTTCAAATGGTTTCCGTTAATAATTCACTGTGTGTGTGTTGTTGGGAGCTGGGATAGCTCAGCCAGTATAGCACTGGGCTATGGTCTGGATAGCCAGGGTTTGATTCCCTGCAGGGCAAGAGATTTTTCTCTCCTCCACAGCGTCCAGACTAGCTCTGGGGTCCACTCAGCCCTCTGTCATATAGGTACCACAGGGGTGAAGTGGTCAGGATGTGAAGCTGACCACTCACCTGCGCTTAGTACTGAGGCCAAGAATGGTGGAGCTATACCTCTATTCCCCCATATGTCTTGATGGCATGGTGCTTAATTTATTGAGCACAGGGATAATGTTATCTGTAATGTGTGTTTGTTAATGTTAGGTTTAAAAATTTTTTATTCTTACTGATGTAGAATTTGTGTGTTTTCCCAGGAAACATTATATCCCAGCTATATGCTAGATCTTATGGTGCTCTGCTGGTCACAGTCACCACGAGATAGACCATCAGCCAGTCAGATAGTCTCTATAGCTTCAGCACCAGAATTCACACATCTCTGTGATACAGTGTCATTGAATCATCCAGCACCAGTTGTTGCATCTGCTGTAGTTCCTGTGCCAGAGATTGGTGGTAAGTGTCACTCTTATTTGAAAACCACAGTCACTCACTGACCTGAGATGTTGTGATTTGATGAGCTTGTGAGGAGAAATTCATGCCAGTCACTTTAGTCAATTATATTCATAATAACTTATGAACATTTGGTTCAGAAATTATTAGGACAGGCAATGACACATAGAAACATGATATTATCAAAAACTTACATTTTGTTACAGAACAAGGAAAGTAAGGTAAAGGGGGATATTTATTTACCCCACAGTAGCTCTGTATGAATATTACACATTTAATGAATCTCTCAATAAAGATCATCATTAAATGATGGTGAAGGTAAAGTTTTCCTTGTGCTTAACTAATTAAGCACTGCACCATGAAGGTATATGGGGGAGTGGATATATAGGTTCATATTTTCTTGACCTTGGCACTAGCTAGGTGAATGGTCAGTTTCATGCCCCAACTGCTTTACACCCAGGGAAAGAGCCCCTGGTACCCACTAGATGATACAAAATTGGGTGCACTCTAGAGTTGGTCCAGATAACATGGAGAAGTGAAAATTCTTGACCCCAACGTGACTTGAACTCTGACCCCTTGGTTGTGCAGCCAGTAGCCTGTCACTATACCGACTGTGCTATCCTGGCTCACTATTAAATGATGAGTATTCAGAATTTCCTTAAACTGTTTATCATCTTATAAGCTTTACTGTAGAAACTGCTTCTACACAAATAAATACTCTTATATAATCACTAATATCAGATTACTTTGTAAAATAATTAAAGACATAACATAAACCTGGCTGGTGTGGCAGGAACAATTTCCTTCAGGGAAAATGTAAATATCAATTGTTCTGTCTATTACAATCACACTAAATCAAAGTACTTGTTCTGGAAGGTAAAAAATTACTTACATACTAAATTCTGGTTATTTATTAATTCATTAATTAATTGGAAAATTAATGCATTGTTTATATTGGGCTTCAGCTGGAAGTACAAAAAAATATTAATTAAATGAAGAACCACTAAATCGGGATTTCTCTCTCTTCTTTGTCATCTTACATGCATCCAGAGTTTTTGTAACATTTTCAGATGATGGCTTGTGTGGAGCAGAACTGTGGTTGGCTTGCTCGTCTTCAAGGACTGATCTGCTACTAGCGACACACCGTGGCTGGGTGCAGTACTGCACTCTGTCTCTACCAGAGAAACCTACTGCAGCTTGCCTTGTAGGGGACAATATTTGGCTTGGTGACTGTACTGGTCAGATACATGCATTCATGTTAGTATTAGCTTTTAATTCATATGTGCAACCCATCTAACTTATTTAGGAATCAACTCAATCCATTAGTTTGTATTATTGTCCTGTACAGGTGGAACTATATTAAAGAGCAACTGGATGCATGTCATAATAACTGCAGGTATTTAACTGAGCCAGTATCTGATTACAAAAACAAACAAACTCTGTGGCCTCTAGTCCACAAGCGAACTATACTGACCGAGCAACCGCCACTTGTTGGTGAAGTTAGTGCCAACTTTTGCAGATAGAGGGTGTTGCGTGGTCAGCGCAACGGATCCCAACGGCTGTTAATCTCGGTTTTGTAGACCGAGTATCTGATTACAAAAAAGGTAAAATTGTTCCTGTTCTTAATCCATTAAGCAGCACTTCATGAAAATGTATGGGGGAGTGGAAGCACAGGTCCACAGTTCTTGACTTAGGCACTAGATGGAGGTGAATGGTCAGCATTATGCTCCAGCCGCTCTACCACTGGACAAAATGTCCCTTGTAGTAAGGTGACCAGATTTCCTGGCCCAGAATCTGGGAGACCTCATAAATGTTGAGGAGGGGACTGAAAAAAGACCAATGAAAATATTTAATTTGTGTAGAAGAAGCAAAGCTGCTTTATTTTTTAGAGTTGTGAATTTTCTTAAGGAGATCATTCTTTGTCAGAAGTATTTTAAAAAAATTAATACAAATTTTATCATAGTTTACCTTTGCCTTCAGAGTGTTCACAAACAAACAAACTCCATGGTTTTAGCCAGCAAGCAAACTAAACCAACCGAGCTTGTCGGCGAAATGGCCCTGGGTCAACTCAGCCTCTAACAGAAATGAGTACTGGGAATTAATTAAATAATTTTCCTCGGGAGTAAAGTGTTGCCGGCGCATAAGACTGACAACCTTACCGCCATCTTTGAGCCAATTGTCTAGATAATATGGGACCCTCAACATCTCACAACCCTATGGGCCTTCACGGCCTGTTACAGGGATAGCTGTACTTCAGAGTGTTCACACCATGTACTATTCATGAGGGAAAATAACCTTTCAGTGGAAGCATTGGTTCTGGGAAGGCAGAAAAGGAATTCTGCTGACTTAAGTACATTTGAGAAAGAAACATTGTTTTTGTTGAAATGAGACAACATTTCAAAATGCTGGCAAAGTTCTGTTAGCAGTCCACTCATAAACTTTTTCCCTCGTTATAAACTCTGCCTGCATATGATGGTGTTGATTTCTCTTGTGTGTAGATGTTATCATAACATAATGTAACAGGTGGAATGAACAACATACAGATTAGGGACAAACAATAACCACAACAATGGGCTTACGCACAGAAAACAACACATGAACAGCTAAGCCGCCACAGTATAAAAATCCGAAGAAAGGGATATTGAACTGTCTTGTTTGGACTAGTGGATGACACCCCCAGCAGAGGTGCAGAAAAGAACTTTACAAAATTTTAGTGAATTTTATATTTAAAAGTAAATTACAGCGCATGGAATTTTAACTAATGCTAACTAGATTATCAAGTATAACATCCAGTATTTTAAATCACGAAGAAATATTGCAGCTACATATGATGTGAATAAGTGGGCAGTTTTGGCATTGCTGAGACACCTGATGATGGCCGTTTGAGGCTGAAAAATGTCGTGAAGAGAAGTAATAATAGTAATAGTTGCATTGTTGACAGAATTATAGTGTGTATGAAAGTTATTGTTACTTGTTTCAGTGCCTGTAGATGGGTTTTTTGATTGGTAATCAGATATATTGGACACTGAAACACACAACTCATGACTACACTTTACAAATCACTATCACACAAATACCAGTGTTCTCAGTCATGGTCTTTACTACATTGCTTGGTAACGTCTTCCAACAGTAAATGATCCACAGCTCCTGGGCTCCTGTCCTTGCAGGCTGGCGGCCATCTCACACCAATCTCCTGCTCTTGTAACAACCATCTCAGGAATCTCGAGTCAGACTCTAGTGCAGGTCACTCCTCATTATATAGCCTCTGCATGGACCCCACAGAAAACAACTCCTCACCCAACAGTTCTTTTGTTCCATGACATAGCTATCAGCATGGACTGTGCAGAAAACACTGCTTCCCACAGTTGCTCCATTGTTGCATGTTACACAGGCATTACCTAGCAGTGTCTGTTTCTACTGTTTCACAATTCTGGCCTTCAGCAGACATGCCACATTATGTTGTGTTATTTGTTGCAGAGGTAGAGACTGCCAGTCACTCTTCAGCTATGCACTAGACCCTGAAGCACCAGAGCCATGTGCTGTGAGCAGTCTGGTGCTTCTTCCCAGGCTCCAGAGAGTGGCTGTTGGGCTTACCAATGGTCGGCTATTTCTTGTACGAAGTGACGTCTTACCATCATATTCCAGGATGGGTGAAGGTAGTTTTGTGATGACAGAATTAGGTAACAGCACTATTCTACATTCTCTCACAGCTGTGTTCAAGGATCAAGGCAGGTCAGTAGTAAATTTGGTGACTTTTTAATCATGAATTGCATTGTGACAGATTTGCTCAAAGCATTAAACTGTGGAGCCAATAAAAAACCTACTGCTAGGTAAACACATTCCTAAAGCAAACAACTATAGAGGAATTGCCGTTTCTGTTAACAGTAGAGGAAAATGATCATTGCTAGGCAATAGCTTGGTAAACAACTTCTCACTTCAGCACATGACAACAATAGGGAGTCCATTGCTAAGCAACAGCAAGGTAAATAAGCTTCATCAACAGTACAGACTATGTGTTCTATTGGGTCTGTGCAAAAGTGATTATAAAAAGTGAATTCAGAAGCTAGTAGTAGTTCATTGTACAAAGACAAGAATGGAGCATGTCCTAGTGAATTGTGAAGATTAGCAATAGCACTCTAATTGATTGCAGTTGTGAAGAAGTGTTCAGTAAACCCAGTCATCAAATCTAGAACCCATTATTAACAGTCACACCTACCCCTCATATGTGACAGTATGTTCTGTTCTCTATGTCATAAGTAAACCTTCACTATATTCTTTCTGGCAGAGGTATAATTCAGTCTTTATTAATCTTGGGCCCTAAATAAGGGTGAGTGATCAGCATTATACCCCACCTGCTTTAACCCCAGTACCTAGTGGATAAGAGGGTAGGTGAGTCCCAGAGTCAGTTTGGACATGGCGACAGAGAGAAAATCTTCATCAGTTGTAAGAATTGAACTCTGATTCTCTGGTCATTGACCTTGTGTCATAGTCATTTTATTGACTGAGCTGTTGTGTATACAGGAATCAGCAAATGTTGGCCCAGTTCACCAAATATTTCTCTATGAGAAAATGCTGCCACCAAGGCTGTTGTAATTGCTCCTTACCAGCTTACTTACACTCACATAACATACAAGACATGTTAAAAGGGCCTGATGTCCATTATATTAAGTAAGACATTATGTGCTAAGTAGGTTCCATAGGCATGGCATGTCCTCAGGTTGTGGATGGAGGAAACAGCCTCCAGATGGAGAGGGTACCTGTGAATATATTGAAGAAGCAGTTGCACACATACATCAAGGGATGGTCCTCCGGCTTGAAGTTGGGCATAGGACTAACAACTCCTTACCATAAAAAAAATATTTGTTACAAACTGTTACACAAGGCCATTTACTTGGACGCGTTGTTTGGATAAGTAACATAAGCCAAAATGGATCTTATTGAAATTGGATGGGGCAGTATGGAATGGATTGATCTGGCTCAGGATAGGGACCAGTAGATAGCTCTTGTAAACACAGTAATGAACCTTCGGGTTTCATAAAATGTTGAAAAAATCTTGAGAAGCCGAGCAACTGATGCCTTCTCAAGATCTCTGCTCCATGGAGTTAGTTTAGTTAGTTAGTATATAAGACACTGATTATTTTTCAGTTATAGTGCATGTTACTGTGAGGGAGAACAAGAGCTAATGTTATTGAATAAATTAAAAGATTTTACCTGTAGCTGGCCTTAATTTTTCACTCATCATAGGCAAGCAGATGAGTCAGTTTCTTGAGTCCTGTGCATAAACATGATACTATTGTATAATAATACATTTTGATGTATAAGAGATTGGTCTCCAACTGAAATGTACCCTTTATATATGTATTTTATTTTCACAGAACCTGCGAACTCTGGTGTGGCCAATCAGATGGAAGCATCTCCATCTTCACAATTCATGAGAACATTGTGACATCTCAGGACATTGTAAATCATTATGAACCCATGATAGAGAACATCAGTGTTCTAAATCTTGTTTCAACCCACTGTCCACTGTATCATGAGGGTAGTGATGTCACAGTATGCTCCTATGTCTATCCAGGTAAGGCAAAGTGTACAGTTTCTCTAGGTCATTATCTCCCACTTCATGGGTCCAGTTGCTCACATTTTGTGCGTTTTGTGTCACCTATAGAATGTTGCAATTTTCCTAGAACAAGATGCAAATTATTGTCTAAGTACATCTAGTCTATTTCCTGAAGAATGCTGTCTTCTGGGATGTGGTATCGTGTAGACATAGTATAAACCGACGTTTCGGAGGAACGTATCGCCTCCATCTTCAGGGTGGAAGAAAAGTGAGTAATAGAAAAAATCCATGAGCAAGGAACCATCGTGAGCAGATGGCTGCAGACTAACTGACCAGCTGAAAACAACCAGCTATATAAGAACGGGAAGGGTCTGTGGAGATGGGCCAGCAGGTAGCAGGCCAGAGCAGGTCTATTTCCTAATGTTGAATATATGTTATTAAAATGCCAGCTTGTGTTAGTCATACAGGACCATTTTCAAGGGGGTGTACCGTATTAAAGGGAAACTTCACAATTTATATGTATGTAAAATAAAGGATTTAAGGCCAAAACTAGTATGTTAAAGATCATACATATGAACTGCAGTTATTGTAATTTGGTTGATTACCGTGTGTTATGCTGTGTTGTATGTTGCTGTCTCATATTTCAAATGTTGAAAAAGTGGAGCTCTGCTGTTTCCATGTTGTTCTTGGTAGGTGTGGTACTGAAAGTATCAGAGCATCAAAATTGCAGTTTTGCATTTCTCTAAATTCTACTTTTTGCTGACAGAACTCATAAATACAAGATACTTGTTCTTCTTTACTGGCGCTATAAATCTATGTGGGTCTTGGCCTCCTTCATGGTTTCATAACAGTAAACTTTTCCAGGGTAGGGTGCTTAGCCCCACACCCAATCCCCAACCTGGAAGACCGGGGACTGCACTTCATCTGCCCTGCACCCTTTGTCCTCTCTGACATAGATGGCTCTAGCAGGAGCTTATGCTTCTGCCAGCATAACTCTCTGGGCCATTAGGCTATATATACCTCCTGTCCACAATAATGCGGTGGTCATCGAGAAGGAAGTGCAAGATGCAGATACTAAAAATTACAAATACCAGTATTTCAACTGTTTCTGTGTTCTTATTTAAACAAGCTTTTTGTTACAGGCTGTGTGGTTTACCAGTGGGATCCAGCGACACACAGCATTCTCAACAAACTGGACTGCTCCAAACTGGTGCCTTGCTCTGAGAGTCTCAAATCTATCAGCATTGAAGAGCATCTCAGTCCAGGCAAATGCCAGGTGTGTGTACCTGCATGCACATGCATGCTTGTGTCTGTGTAATACAGGTTAATATTGTGTCTTAAATTTTTGCAGGAGCCCAAGAACATTTTTTAGGACAGTCATTTATTCTTGATTTTAAAATTTGGCAGGTGTTAAATATAAAGGGTAAAGCTATCCCTGTAATAGGCTGTGGAGGCGTATAGGGTTGTGAGATGTTGAAGTTCCCACATTTTCTAGACAGTCAGCTCGCAGATGGTGGTGAGGTTATTAGCTATACACACTGGCTGCCCTTTAACCCCCACCCCAGGAAGATTCTGGGTGCTCATTTCTGTTATAAGCTGAGTCGACCCCAGGGCCAAAATGCAGCTGGAAGGATCAGGTAAATTGAAAAATTTATTGACTTCTTCAGGGATCGAATGTGTGACCTTCCTGCTTGTAGCTTAGTGCCTCAACCAACTATGGTACCATGTGTCTATAGGAGTTAAATATAATGATTTTTTTAATTTTGTCAAATTTTAAATTTAATTGCATTTTTGTTTAATTTTACTCTAAATTGACGTACTCATCTTTCATTGGTGTTTTTAGTAGGGTGGGTCATCCTATGTCAATATCTCCTGCATTCTTCTCTATATTTTGTTTTCTTATGCATGTTTTCTCTTTCCCAACTTTTTTTTCTCTCTCGTTTAATCTCTCCATCTTGTTATTGGTGTCTTCAATGGACATTTATTCAGCATCTATGTTTTTTAAATTCTCAGAATAAATTTATTGTTATCCATATGCACACATGTTCATGCCCCTGTATTCTTTTAATGAATTATGCACAGAAAATGTCTGTGTTAAATGAGATTTTTTTTATTCCTTCCGTATGAATAACCACCTTAATATATGCCACAACTGTTCCTTTCCCTTTGCCTACAAACAAAGGTAAAATTGAAGAAAGTCATCTTCTGGGATCTGGCGCCATGTATTCTTGGTTTTAACCGACGTTTCAGAGGAACGTATCGCCTCCATCTTCATGGCAGGTGAATAGCGATGCGAATACAGAGAGCAGTAGCTGCAATGATTCGGGAGTGAAGAGTGCTAGTTTATATAGGAAGCAGGAAGGGGGGGGGCCTGGGAGAGGGGACCAATGGGAACAGTGAACAGCGATTAACGCCATATATGGTCAAGGGGGGGGAATACATGGTGCCAGATCCCAGAAGACGACTTTCTTCATAGTCATCGCCGTGAAAACCTCAAAACTTACAAAGGTAAAATTGTTCTTGTGTTTGATAACCATGCCATGGAGATGTCTGGGGGAGTGTAAGTATAACTGCATGCATTCTTGACTTCTCTATTTTGAAGAAGTAAGTTGTCAACTTCACACTCCAGCCAATTTATTGCCAGGGAAAGAGCCTCTAGTACTCATTAAATAGGAGGTTCGGTGGGCCTCAGAGTCAGTCTGGTCATGGCGGTGAAGGGAAATGTCTTTGACCCTGCCAGGAATCAAATCCCAGTTCTCTCATTATCCTGCCTATAACCAAACCTGAGCTAATCCAGGTTACATATTAACTAACTAACTAACTCCATGCAGTTGAGCCCTTCTTGAGAAGCTGCCAGTTAAGCAGCCATTCAAGAATTTCCCAAAATTTTATGGAAACCGAAGATTCATTGCTATATTCAGAAGAGCCCTCCACATGTCCCTATCCTGAGTCAGGCCAGTCCAGTCAGTGCCACTCCATCATATCTCTCTTAAGATCCATCTTAATATTATCTTCCCACCTACATCTAGGTCTTCCCCATTGTCTCTTTTATTCTGGCTTTCCCACCAAAATCTTATAGAATTTCTCTTCTTCAAAAAGTTATGTATAATAGACTACTTGAACACTTAAATTCTAACAACATATTAGTCAAAGAGCAATTTGGATTTAGGAAAGACCTAACAACAGAAAAAGCAACCTATGAACTAACTAACGATATTTTAAGTGCTCTCAATGACAGATTAATTGTGGGAGGGATTTTCTGTGATCTAGCAAAAGCTTTCGATTGTGTTAATCATGATATCTTACTATCGAAATTAAATTTCTATGGAATAACTGGCAAAGCTAATGAATGGATCAAATCATACCTCAAAAACAGGTATCAAAGAGTTGAAATAAATAATAAAAACTCCAGTCATAATGCATTTTCAAACTGGGGAATTATAAAGCACGGTGTTCCACAAGGATCAATTTTAGGTCCCTTACTTTTTCTTCTCTACATAAATGATCTATCTAAAACCATCAACAATAAATCTAAACCAATTCTATATGCAGATGACACTAGTATAATATTTAAGAACTCTAAATTTGAAAACTTTAAAAATGACATAAATATTGTATTTGAAGCCTTAAACAGATGGTTCGAAGCCAATTTACTCTCATTAAATTTTGATAAAACCCATTACATATCATTCACAACTAAAAACAACCACCAAATTGATCTGGACATCAGTTATGCCAACAAATTAATCTGTAAAGTACTTGATACAAAATTCCTTGGAATACATGTAGACAGTACACTGTCTTGGAAAATACATATTGAACAAATTATACCTAAATTAAATGCAGCTTGCTATGCGATGAGATCAATTAAGCCTTTTATGTCACAGGAAACATTGAAGATGGTTTACCATGCCTACTTTCATTCTATTATGAACTATGGATTAATATTTTGGGGGAACTCTTCACATAGTGTAATAATTTTTAAAATACAAAAGAATATAATAAGAATCATTACAGGATGTAGAAGTAGAGATTCATGTAGAGAATTATTTAAGAAATTAAAAATTCTACCGCTTCAATCGCAATTTATCGCTTCTCCTATTTGTTGTTTACAACAAAGATAAATTCAAATTAAATTCTGATGTCTATAACATGAATACTAGACAAAAATATAACTTCCACCTACCCTCATCAACTTTATCAGTATATCAAAAAGGAGTCTACTTTACTGGCATAAAAGTGTTCAACAATCTGCCACAAAGTATTAAAAACTTGGGCAATGATACTAAAAAGTTTAAATCAGAGTTAAAGAATTATCTACATGCTCATTCCTTCTACTCTTTAGATGAATACTTCAATGTAAATAGAGAATGATGTAAAATTAAGTTATATTAATTTTTAAGCTAAAATTGCCTGTACTTATGTATGTAACATTTTGACTTGTTCTGTATCCAAAGGTACTAACCTACTTAGGATTTATAGAATGTAAATAAATTCAATTCAATACTACATGTCCTGCACATCTCATCCTTCTTGATTTTATCATTGTAATTACACTTGGCAGAGTAAAACTTAAAGAGATCTTCATTATGCAGTTTTCTCCACAGTCCTATCACTTCATCCCTCTTCGGTCAATATATTCTTCTCAGGACCCTGTTCTCAAACACCCTCAGTCTGTGTTGCTGCCTTAATGTCAAAAACAAAGTTTCACACTCATACAAAACCACAAGCAAAATTATAGTTCTGTATATTCCAAGTTTAATTTTTTAGGCAGCAAATGAGAAGACAAAAGGTTCTGGACCAAATGATAGCAAACATTGCCTGAATTCAGTCTCTCTTAAATTCCTTCTGAATCAGATTTTGATTTTTTACTGTCATTCCCAAATATTTGCACTGTGCCACATTTGCAAAGGATCTCTCAGCTATCTTTATGTTATGATTTTACCCTGTATTCTGTTGATGAGACAGCAACATATACTTAGTTTTCTCTGTGCTTACTTCAGTACCAACCTTTGTAGTAGTGTCAATAAAGTTTCTGTTTTTCTTTATCTAATCTATGTTATCTCCCAGCATTAGCATAGATCTGCAGCTGATGTGTCCAATTTAATTTGAGTCCCATGTGGTGTTCCTTGACCTTCCTAATGGAATATTCAAAAGTGAAGTTGAATAGCAGTGGTGACAATGCATCTCCTTGTTTTAGACCATTTTGGACAGGAAAATCATCAGACAAATATTTACCTATATAGGCATTATTATACGTTTAATTTAAACACATTTTAATCAGCCTAACTAGTTTCATGGGTCCCCCAAACTCTTTCAGTATATTGTACAATACTTCCCTCTTAACTGAATCATAGGCTTTCTTGAAGTCTATGAATAGCTGATGTATTGTCTCATTATACTCCCATTTTTTTTTCTTCACTGTCTGATAAATGCAAAAGATCTGACGAGTAGTTGATCTGTTATGTCAGAACCCACACTGATGATCCTCAATAATTTCATCTATATATGGACTTAACCTTGAGTGTAGAATATTGGATAAAATTCTGTATGAAGTCAATAGCAGTGATATCCCACTATAATTACTACAGTCAGTTTTATTGCCCTTTTTGTGAATTGGTACAATAATAGACTCCTTCCACTGGTCAGGCAAGGCTTTCTTACTCCAAGTAGAACTAATGAGTTTATGGATCTCAGACTGCCACCTCCTGCTTGAAACATTTTTGCCAGAATTTGATCACTACCCAGGGATTTATAATTTTTCAACTTTGTAATAACATTTTCAACGTCCAAAGGACTAGGATCATGTACTAATGGCTCAGATAATTGTATTTCTATCTACATAACATCTCTGACCCTATGTACATTTGGTAACTCATCATCATCATCATCATCATCATCATCATCATCATCACTGGCACGACAGCCCTTTGTGAGCCCTGGCCTTCCTCAGGATTGGTCGCCATTCTTCTCCATTCGATGCTACATTCCTCCAGTTCTTTATACCCAAAATTCTTATGTCTTGCCATACACATTCTTCCCATCTTAACCTTGGTCTTCCACACATTTGGTAATTATCCCAGGATATATATTGTGACATGTTGCGCAACGGAGGACGCCCACCTCCCCAGCGGTACGTGGCGGTAACGTAGCGCTCGCGTTACTATAGTAATAGGCGAGTCCCCGCCCCGCCACTCTCCCCACGGTGATGTAACGCGCAACGCGCGGTGACGCAACACGGTGACGCAACACAGTGACGCAGCACCGCTTCCTACTGTGACGTGGCACATAACAGGCACACACAGCCCCTGTATAAGAGATCTGCACTGCCTGTGGAGTTGAGTTGTAATGTGGCTATCGCCGAGCTCAGGTCCGAGCTAGTTTCAAGCAAGCCTGCGAGTTGAGTGGACATATAGCATCAGTCGCGATAAGAAGACCCGAATGCGTGGTTACAAGATTTTATGTGACAGTGTGCGATAACTAAGAAATCAGCGAGCGGAAGACTTATTGTGTGCTTTTGAGACTTAGTGAGTGCTGTAGTACAGTTATATTTGGAGTGTGTAATTCAGGGAGATTTGTATAGCTCCCGTGTTATTAGTACGTGAAGACTTTGGTTGTAGGGTTTGTAAAGTGTGGAAACCCGCAACTGTGTTGTACCTAATTGTAGCCGTGATTTGTAGGTTGTTAAATAAACCAATTAACGATCTCTATGGCGTATTCAGTAACGAAACACGTTACACTGGTGTCAGAAGTGGGATTTGGACTTACACACATGACCAACGAGATTCGAACTCAAAACACGTTACAATATTACTGTTCATAATTATCGTTATACTATGTGGATTTAGCAATACATAGACTGTGAAACCATATTCATTTATCTGTTTCATTTCAGGTGACAAGCATGGCAATCCTCAATACTGAGCTGTATATTGGCACAACGTGGGGATGCATTATAGTGGCTGAACGATCGACGATGCGTCCCATCACTGTGTTCCGTCCTTTTGCAGAGGAAGTACGTGCTATTGTTCCATTGCTTCGCCCTACTGCAGAAGTCAGTTCTGCAACTGGTGATGATGTAACAGGCACTCCTGCAGATGCCCATAAGAAGCAGAGCTGTCCCCTGATTGCAACAGTTGGTCGAGGATATCGCAGTTTGATTGCACGGTACACTGACATGGTGATGACCCCAACAGGTGTTCAGAGCCCCATGCACATGTATCATAGCAATGGTGTTGACCAAACTGTAGGAGGAGGTGAGGTAAGGACCCACAATATGTATGCTCTGTTGTGGAGAGCAGAGAGATGGGCTGCTTCATAAGTGACTTTGTTGAGTCTCTTACATGATCTCATGGCAGAGTTGTTGCTCTGTAGAATTTCTTTGTTGTAAATTTCACCTCTGTGATATAAAGAGATTGGATTGTGGGTTGGTGAAACTGAAAGACATTGTTCAACTGTAGACTACTTGCGCTGTAAACATGAGATATGGCAGTGCTGGAAGCTGTTGGATGTCTGTTGAAGGATCTAAATTGTTGTTACAAGATTATTGAAGTGCTGCTTGACAGCTGCATGAGTTACAGTTATCTGTATTATAACTTGAACATATTCCTGTGTTCCAAGAAAGAAACTGTGAATTTAATATTTGAATCTAAACTTTTCAGTGATCATTTGTGTATGAGCAAATAATTATGACATGATGTTTGTTGGTTGGTTTCTGGTGCCTCCAAATATGGTCTCTTTAACTGTTCTTGCCTCTCTCCACTTTAGCATTTCAGAATTTGGGGCCTCCAGAGGGCAGATTCTTTAACCCCAATAATAGAATGAGCTTGCAGATGATAGCAGGGTACACCTACAACTTTTAACATGGGCTTGAATGATGGGGAATTGGGAGCCTGGTGTTCGTCACATTCCAAAATCTTTTTCTTCGGTAGAAGTGAAGGATTAAATCAAAATCTGTTAACAGCAATATTTTGCACACATATCTGGAAATCAGAACCCTTTGAATGAGAGACTAGTGTTGTAATCAAAGATCACCAGGGTCCCCCTTATGACAAGATATTGATTTTCAGAATTAAATTTACATAAGCCCATTGTTAGGCCAAGATAATTTTAACTGGTGCAGGTAATCTTTCTGTTTTAATATATGAGTATCTTCTTTTACCTGGTTTTTCCTCGTTCTTCTTGGTCTCCAGAGTGGTAATATGTATTCATCATCAATTTTAACATAACTGACCAGAAATTTCATTGTTGTCCATGTGTAACAGATGTTCCTACCAATATTTCTTTAATCTTTCCAACTTTTCTTGCAGAGATTTTGCTTTCAGGTAATGCTGAATGGCCTTCTTTTCACTTTATTCCTGCCTCTATTTGCTTGATAAATATACTTAACCTCCATCGTTTTTTCAACTTTTCATGCAGAGTTTTCCCTTTAAGATATTGCTGAAGGCCCAACTTCTGAGTTTATCCCTGCCTGTTTGTTCAATTGAAAAGTGTACCCAGCCTCTTTGAATAGATCCTGGCCCAAGTGACAGCATCTGAGTACTGACGGGTAGGATCTTGTTGGTGCATTCATTTCATGCATTATATTTTCTTACAGTATTAACCTGCTGTGATTGTATTAAATACCATCTTCAGCAACTGTTTCTTATGTTACATAAAATACATAGATTTTAAGTAACAGTTTGTAACTTCTGTATTTGGAAACTGATGGTATAGTTGTAATTTTTAGTTCATACCATATTATAGTAACATTTTTCTGTTTCTGGTTCATAGATTTTACTCTGAATTGGAAGTGATCTGAAGTCAATTTGTCAATGTTATTAGTATACGAGTAGTATGTTTAATGTCTGTAATTTGTATTTACTTCAGAGCACTGAAAGACAATTCTTTAAATGAGAAACAGAAAAGCTTCAGTGGTGGGCTTTTGTAAATGACCTTTAGGCTTTATAACAACAGGAAGTTTCTTGAGTACCTGATTAGCTGTTACATTCTCAGGCAAGATCCTGTATCATGAAGTCATTACTGTCTTCCATATGTTAAAACACAAATTTTTTGCTGCCAAAGAGAAGTTCTGTGAATGAATATTAAAATACCATTAGTCTGCAGTTTGAACAACCTGAAATGTTTGTTACACTGTAACCAAAATAGGATGTATGTTTATTCTATGGTTGTGTGAGTGAGCCTGTGGATATGAAATGGATATACAGATTTATGGATTTGCATGGTTAGTTTGTGACAGTTTTAAGATTTTTATTTAACAAAAAGCACTGCTTATGAAAAATGAAAGTCAGATGTGAAATATCCAGAAATTAAGAGACTTGTAAATTATAATTCTGGATTAATTTCACAAACAATATGATGAGTTTCTGATTGTTATAATTTTTACTCATGTTCTTTTAGGACCTCATTTTTTTTTATTCTTTTTGTAAATATCCAAAATCAAAACCCATTTAGGTCCTACAATCGAAACATAATTCTCTGATGCTTCTCTCTGTATATCTACTTAGAAACTTCTGTGAAACCATCTGCACTTGGCCATTACCAACTGATCAGAAAACTAGATACATTTATTTTGCATTCAGTTGCTGTCAGCAGAATGTGTTCACTTTCCCTCTTTAAAGGCAGTATCTGTAGATAGGGTGCTCCCTACAATTTTGATGATGGGAAGGCTTAATTCTGGTCTGTCTTTCAGAATAATATTTTAACAGAGCTGTTGAGAGGTTAGGCTCGTTAAAAATGGTAATTTGAAGTAAGTGATACTACAAAATAATGACTGGAATAAAGCAGATATATTTTGATGCACTGAATGACACATTAAAATGATCTGGCAAAGTGAATGAAGTACATGTTTCCTGTCATCTGACAAAACAGAGGTTCTGCTTTTATTTTCTTCAAACATGTCATCTAGATGGCCTTGTGGTTGCAGCCATACATTCAGAAGGTGAATTTAACCATATTAAAATTGAGGAGGTTATCAGAAAAAAAAACACTGTTATAAAGTATTTATAACTTAGATTCTTATTGGATTTGTTTATGTCATAATTAATGCTCGAGGAATAGCCTGAATTTCAAGGCCTATTTTCAGTTCATAATCAGTTTCTTATCCTTACCTATATGAATATATATGAAGTTAACTCCTTATGGTATCTAAGTTGTGTACTTCTGAATACATAACAATTTTTTTAATACATTAATTAAGTGTATGTGTATGTCTTGAGTGCTTGTTTGTTTCTGCCTCTGTTGCTTTTGGAGAGCTCTGTTGATTGTAATGGATAAAGGCATTCCAGAACACCACTCTGGAAATTAAGAAATTCAATACATTTTATTATAACAAGTTACAAATTAATAATTCCAACATAAGCTTCTCTTATGTTTGTGCAGAATATGTTTAATTAGTATTCTTGCTTCGGAACGGCTTAGTACAATGAATCTCTTTCATAGTATTTTGATTGTTTATGGTTGTCATGAAATAAAGATGGTGCTTTACCTGTGTGCTGAAGTGATAATTCTGAAACTCTTTTGGGAGGTATGTACTACTAGTCATATTACATGACTAGCATTGATAGGTACACTGGTTTTTGTGTTAAGATATGCTTTTATGTTGAAAAGTTTTGAATGTAATGATACCAAAGATAATTAATGATGTATATTAGTTCAGAATGAAAGACATATGGGTTAGAAAGACAGCTGACTCTCATATTTCAAACACTGTCTGATACAGTTGATACAAGAATGATATAAGTATAATAGAACCCTTGATTTAAGCTTTTCCCTCATTTAATGTTCAGTTTCAGTGATCACAAACCAGTAGCCTCAGGTTAAGTTTATGATGCCATTTAAGATTTCACCCAGTTTTTATATTCAAATGCACTGCTCCTCAGAGAAATCTTAAAAGAGGTTTTGCTGTATTCCTACATTAGTTTTGAGGTAAAGTTATTGTGATTCTGTTCAATGCTTGCTTTGGAATAGGCATTAGAAACTTTATGTCATAGTGGGTGAAGGCATACATAACCCAAATTTGGATATTTTTTTCCTGAATGATCATTTTGGATAGGTACAAATTTCCATATTAAAAGTTCCTTTAGGATCATAAAGCTAGTGAACAGCTGATAGAGAGTATGTGAAGAATGTAAATGAAAACAGCATTGTGAACTGTTGAATATATAAAACAACAACAACAACAACAATAACAATAATAATAATAATAATAATAATAATAATCTACAACTCAGAGGCTGTGCCACTTGTTGACCCTTTCTGGTCTCATTTTTCCAATGTTATCTTCAAAAGCATTCCCCAGTTCTTCAATTCATATGGTTTTTAATTTTTTAATACTTTTGGAAGTTTGTTCATTTGCATTCCATTGGTTTATTCAATACAGTTGGTTTTGTATTTCAAAATTTTGCCGAATATGGGTTCCGTTTCTAATTGTTTTTTAAAATGTCTCCTTTTCTTTTATGGCCCTGCCAAGTTATATTTACATATTTGTTTAATAAATTTAATTTCAGCAGCTGTAATTCTGTCTTGCCTTGAGATAAGGAACATATTTAATTCAAGATTCTAAAAGGATAGGTTTGCAAGTCAGTGTTACAGATTCCAGAATTCATGCAGAATACTTAATGTATGGCATATAAACTACATGTGTGTTTTTTTGGTATGTGGTGGGGAGGGGGACGGGGGCTGAACGGTGCAGTACTAAAACTCAAGAACAAAGGCGCAATATAACAATCCCATATTATTGTTCACTCCTGAGATTTGTTCTGTTGCTTACTACTTTGCATATTACTGGCCTTCTTACAAAGTTACAATTCCTATTAAGACCACTGAAATTGAAAAATCCCAATTTTATGTTTCAAGATTGAAGAGTGCTTATTGATTAATTAATAGTGTTGTATCAACAGCTAATAATATATTATAATAATGTGATATATTTTTTACATCAAGAAAATGTCTTCAGGTGTGCACGGTGCCAGTGGGATGCCATCACACTGAAACAACATTCAGATTTTTGACTGTCTCTTGAAATATTTACAAGAGTTTACTCAGTGTTATGTAATCTTACATACTGATATACAGTCATTAAGTAACCAATCTTATATTTTGTGGAGGTCTAAATATGTCATTTTACAGATATTCATCTGTTGAGATTAAATGCACGGACTTTTTAACTTAGTGACTTCAGTTACATTGCAAGCTCTGCTACATTTAATTTCTGTACAAGCATTAGCTTTGACAATACTAAGAGTAGGGGGTAGGTTTTGCAACTCTGTGGTCTAGTGGTCAGAGTTCCTGGCTACAGATCCATAGGTCCAGGTTCAATTCCCGGTGCTACCAGATTTTTTCTGAGCAGTAGTGGGTCTGGAATGGGGTCCACTCAGCCTCATGATGATAATTGAGGAGCTATTTCAAGGAAATAATGGCTCCGGTCTAGAAAACCGAAATTAACGGCCATGGGAATTTGTTGTGCTGGCCACGTGACACCCTCTATCATTATGTAAGTAGCAGGACAGGATAACGATTTTTGTCTTAAGCATAAGAATTTGAGAAGTTTAAAAATAAACTAGTGATAATATAGAAATCTACTGCCTTTCCCACATAAGCACATATGAACCATTGGCTGGTCAGAATAGTCATGTTACATAGGTTGTGTGTTTGTCCATTTTTAAAGCTCCTTGTATGGGGCATATGATCTCATTTAAATGCTGCTTTCTTGATGGGTGAACTGCTTTGCTGTCAGTCCCTCATTGTTATTTGTATCCTCAAGGAATACTTTCAGTTAGAGGTACAAAATTAATCAGAGACTGAGAGATGAAGTTTTGTGTTCCAAGGACATTTTTTCTTTCACATAACTATTCTGTGAAATACTTAACTGGTTTGAAATCAGACAGACATACTGTCCAGTTATCATACCTGTCTCTGTGCAGTATGTGGTGGCAGAGTGTGACAGAGAGAGATAAACAATTTTGTCTAATACATTGATGATACTGTTGACTCTGAAAAAATAACTTATCTTACATCACTGCTGTTCTTAAATTGGCTGTGGCAGTTTTGATGATACATCATCATTAAATAAAGAAATTATAAAAAATAAATGTTCAAATGTAGAACCAAAATCTGTATTGATTTATTATTATCCCATGCAGTTGCTTCAATTTTTCTCGTATTTAACAGTGTAGTACCTCCCACCTTTACATCACGGTTCTCTTAACCTTAGCTATAACACTCCCTCCTTTCTCCAGGATAAGTGCACAGTACAATGTCCCATCACTGTTCCTGACAAGTATAGTAAGAAATGATGCTTTCATTCAAAGGACAAAAAAAAAGTATGTTTCATAATCTAAGCCCATGGTCTAGGTGCAACCTTTCATTGAATATGACTGGTCCTTTGTGTAATTAGAGGCTCAGATTTATAAAACGATGAAAAACAACATGCAGTTTTAAGACTGCAGTCTTCTATGATGTGGCTCTCTAGTTTGGTAGATGGTTACCGATATTTCTGAGGAACCTGCCTTCTTCATCTTCTGCTGCATAGATGGAGGCATCGGGGTCCTTTGAAGCATTCATAACCATCTCCCAACTAAATACGAGTAGCATCACAATACAGAAGTACGCAGTTTTTTATATTGGATATTACTTAACTGTAAGAAAGATCTGTTACATTCTTCTGATATGTAAATTAGAATGGCTGGTCCACAGTTCTGAAAGCATATTAAATGACTGTAACATTCCATTGCACTTGTGAGGCAATGTATGCATTACTGGCTAGATAATAGAACAGTTAATACCCATATAAAATTGGATTGTTAATTTTCCAGTACGGGGTAGCATAGTCAGTAGAGGCACTATGCTACAAGCTGGAAGGTTGTGGGATCGAATCCTGATGAGGTCGTTGGATTTTTCAATTGATCTAATCCTTCCAGCTGTACTATGGCCCTGGTGTCAACTCAGCCTCTAACAGAAATGAGCACCAGGAATTTTCCTGGGTGGTAAAGGGCAGCAGGCTTGTAAGGCTGACAACCTCACGCTATCTGTGAGCTGACTGTCTAGAAGATGTGGGAGCATTCACAATCAAGGTTCCTTTGTTTAGTGCCATCAGATGTGCACCCATGTTTATACAAGACTTTAGGAGGGAGGGGTGCAAAATATATTTTTCCCCCTTGATAAAGTTTGACATAATCTTCATGAAAAATGTGATTAAAGTTAAATAAAAAAACACAGTGTGGGGACACTGCATTTTCCACAAAAATTATAGGGAAGGTAAAGTTGTCCCTAGCCGGTCACGGTAGCTGAGCGGTCTAAGGCATGTACTGTCTTCGCTTGCTTGGAAACTGGTATCGTGGGTTCGAATCCCACTCAGGGCATGGATGTTTAGTTTGTGTGTGTTTTTCTGTTTGTGTACAGGCAGAGGCCTTGCGACGAGCTGATCACCCACCCAAGGAGTCCTGCCGAATGTGTAAGATCTAGGAAAAACCGAAGTGAACGGAGAAGTTCATGGAGGTAGGCCAAGTCCCACTGGGGCTGTAGTGCCAAGGAAAAAAAAGAGTTGTCGCTATGCTTAATTAAGTGATATGCCATGAAGATATATGAGGGAGTGGAAGTATAGATCATTCAAAATATTATTAAGGAGCATTTTAATCTTAGTGTTAATCGATAAATCACACAGTGGAATCACTGGACTGCAATATCCATAGTGTTTTGCTACATCACATTGAACTTTAATTGCATTTTCTTCGAATATAATGCAGTGGGTGAATTGTTTTACTTATTGTTCAAGGACTTGCATGGTGGGGTCTGTAGACACAAATATCCATACCATGCTGCCACTTTGCATTCTGCTTAATTGCCTCAGTGTGACACGTAAAATTATACTCTGGAAAGTAGTATTCACATATTTTATGCACAACTTCCAGACACAAATTTTTGTGGGTTAAAGGTGTATAAGGGGACACTATGCTACAAGCCGGAAGGTCATGGTTCAAGTCCCGATGAGGTGGATCATAAGAACTGACTATATCTTGTACAGGCCAAGAAACAGAGTCATCATTCTCTCTATATCCATGTGTTAATCTGCTGTCCAGATCACTGAACAATTCTCTGAATCTTTACATCATAATAAATAAGATTAGAGTTGTATATACATGTGGATTTATTAATAACAGCAGCAATAATAATAAAGTACAACAAACATTGCACAGTATGCCATAATTTTTATCTTATTCAGATCAACTTTTAATGGAAAAGCAACATGAATACAAGATATCACATTATAGCATCATGATTGCCCTTTTGGCAACCCTTTCCTTCTTTCTCTTTTGTCGATCTTTTTTCCTCTTTTCCAGTGTTGCATCCATGAATAACTGTATTCCTTCCCTAGCCTCTAATTCCCTCTGCAGGAACTGGAGTCCATGCAAGTTGTAGCCAACCATATCCTAGAACAAGTACAAAGGAATCACGCAAGTGTCCCCAGCGCAGTAACAGTAAGACATTTTATGAATGTTTGCAAATGTGCAAAAAGAACAGTGAAACTTTAAGTTTCTGTGTTCAGCTGTCAGTTGATGATATATTACTTTAAAGATGCATGTTATTTACATTTTATGTCATGTATTTTATTGGTCATAACTGCTGATGAATCCAATATCATCCGAACCACCAACTTTTGACACCAAAATGTGTAGGGTGGTATGCGTGACAAAAATAATGGGTTTAGATCAGATGATTGGATTTATTAGCACTTCAGTTACAGGTTCTCTTAACTACCATTAATACAGTGCTACTGCTGATTTACACACTTAAGTCACATACACAGAAATGTCCTGAAAGTGTGAAGTCACTTGATACAGTGAAATGACAAACAAGTGTAAAAGACTTAAAAGATTTTCTTGTTAAAACAAATTAGAGTGAAAAATGTGCAAGAAATTATTGTAATTATACTGCCATGTGTTAAAGAGCATACTTACACGAGTCTAGGGTCGCGCCATAGCTCAAGCAGTTAGTCGCTGGCTTCCCACCGTGGCGGCCCTGGTTCGATCCCGGGTCTGGTCAAGTGGGATCTGTGTTGGACAAAGTGGCGCTGGGGCAGGTTTTTGTTCCGAGTACTTCAGTTTCCCCTGCCAAGCTTCATTCCATCTCACCTATCATCTGGGGTTGGTACAATAGGCCAGAAGTGGCCGCAGTACAAGGGACTTAGTAAGTCTAGTGAGATTTTTCTCAACATATCTTGATCTCTTAAAATATGGAATAATCTTACAGTTAGAAACCTAATAATATCTGACACCATGCCTAAATGCACATATGTAATTTGGTACTGTCATCAGTTAAAAACATATCTACTAATATGTTTAAACTTCTGTGTTGAAAATTGAAAATACTGAAATCAGCATTTAAGGATGTGTTCAACAAATTTCTGGTATGTAACAGTAGAAATTATACATGGAAACAGACCACTGCATGATGTACTTATTAAAGAGTTTGGATTATCTCTCTAATAAAATAGAAGCATTTAAAAGTAAGAGGGTATTATACATTCTTACCATAATTATTTATTCTTAGAAAGTACAAACGCAATGAAAGAAATTTACAGTACTAACCCTCAGGTGGTTGACTTCAGAAACAGCCAATTTCTGGAGCTCCCTCACTACAGGGAGAAGTGCCTGATTATTTACTATAGGTTTATGATGCACCTTGAAGAGGAAAATCATGGTCCGACACACCAGTTCTGTTTGAAATCCCCTTGCAATCAGTGCAGGTAACTGACTGAGGAGTTCACATACTGATGTGAATGGAAGCAGCAAGAGGGCCTCCTCAAGGTCGCTGGAACAACAGAATTTCCATTTTTAGTCAATTTCATAATTCATAAATAAATAATTTCACAGTAAAATGCTGATGAGAGTATTTTGACAGATGAAGTCAAATAGAAATAGAGAACAATTACATATGGGCCTTAAAAATTTGCAGCCTTCGTTGCAGTACTTTTTTTATTTTGGCTGATACCAGTATTGGCAAACTAGTTAAAAGTTGCACATTTATCAGGGCACTGGCTGCATGCACACAACAGGAAACTACACAAGTGGGGTAATGGGCCTACAACCAAAGAGGCATATAGAAATCAGCATACACACCAACATCAACAAACTACATGAAAGACAGCCATGCTGTCGAGGATTACACTAAAAGATCCCACATGGAAATCGATACCATTTTTACTAAATTTTATTGGGTCACCTATTTTAATTTTATTTTAAAATTGAGGCAAGCAGTGCAGCGAACAGTTTAGCATAACAAGGATACCTGATGATGTCCATACAAGGCCGAAACACGTTGTGAATAAAAATTAAAGTGACTGTAACAATCTTGTGTTGCACTGTAATGGAAATATGTATTGATTGTTTAATTTCGTGCATTTATAAAGTCTCCATAAACATTATTAACTGATAAAATTCTGGACATGGTGGGAATATAATGAAATATAAACTCAGTCAAATAGTTCACAGCCAGTCCTTGTGCAGTATAAGTACAATGAACTGTATCCAAGTTGATCCCATGATTTTCTGTGTCATATGAAGGTATCTGTTACAGAGATTCATTATCTACAGGTTGTACTTCAGTTCTGAAAAGAGCCTTCGCTACCTTGACCGAATTCTTTGCAGTATCTCAAGCAGGAAATCATCTGGTGTAGCAGCTTGATAGGCTGCCATAAGAGCAGGTGGCTGTGGTGGGGGTGGTACTTTTTCTTTCTTGGATGCTGCCTTCACCAAAGCACTGTGCTCCTTCAACTTTGCTCGAAATTCTCGGCAGATCTCAAGACACTCCAATAATTGCTCTGCCTGAAATCAGTTTTATAAAGTTCCAGCTTAAGTAGGGGTGGGGGCATAGTAAAAGGCAAAGTTGTCCTGCACTTAACTAATTAAGCACTATGCCATGAAGGCACATGGAGGAGTGGATGTACAGATCCACATTTTCTTGACCTAAGCACTAGCTGAAACTGAGTGGTCAGCTTCACGCCCCTGCAGCTTTGCCCCTGGGTAAAGACCCCCCCCCACCCAGTACCCATTGGATAGGAGGCTGGGTGGGCCCCAGAGCCAGTATTGACGACAATATGGAGAAGTGAAAATTCTGACTCTACTGGGACTCAAACTCCAACCCCTCAGTCATCCACACCATAGGCAGTCACTATACCAACTGTTATAAAAGGAAGATATGGATAGGCAAATTTCTACAGTGTAATCATTTAGCATATTCTGAAGAAGTGATTAAATAATGTTGAGAAATACATACTAAAAAGGATGACATAAAAGAAGAACATAAAAAATTACACAAGATGACCCATTATTAATACTTAAGATAATCATCATCATCATCAGTAATCTGTCAAGACAACAGGTCCACAGTCTCTTTCAAAACAATTCCTCCACCTAATGCGATCTAGAGCTTTCTTCTTCAAATGACAGTATCCTCTTCTGTCCCCAAGGTCATCCAGCATCTTCTTACGTCTTCTTCCTCGTCTTCTTGTCACTTCTATCCGCCCATCTATCTTTCCTTCGATAGCTTCTTTTAGAAGGCAGTTTCTGCGTAAAACATGACCAATCCAATTAGCCTTCCGTTTTCTTATTTCATGTAGGATATTCCTCTGCTCACTGACTCTAATTAACACTTCTTCATTTCTCACATAATCGGTCCAACTGATCTTCTCCATTCTTCTCCAACACCACATTTCGAAACTTTCCAGATGTTTCTGATCTACTGCCCTAAGTGTCCATGTTTCAGCCCCATACAGAGCTATGCTCCAAATGTAGCATTTCACTAGTTTCTTCCTCAAATTTAAGTCCAATTTGCTGGTAAAAAGATTCTTCTTCTTGCTAAATGCAGCTTTTGCCATGGCAATCCTGGATTTAATTTCACAAGTACACCTTCCATCATCTGTTAACAAGCTACCCAAATATTTAAAACATTTCACATTCTCCACTTGTTTTTGGTCTATCTTTATTGTGACTGGGGTTGGTTGTCTCGAAATTTTCATTACTTTTGTTTTCTCCACATTCATTTCCATGCCATAGCACCTTCCAATTTCAATTAGCTTAAGATAATATCATAGATTAAAATGAAGGAATTTTATATAAAAAAAAACCATACAAGTAGCATGTAAGAAATTCAGTACATTGGATGCTAAAACTTATGTACAGAAGATGCCAGTTGAAAGCCAACAGACAGGACAATATTACAATGAATCTAAGAGAAAATGATATGAGAGTGGAAACTGGACTGAACTGGCACAGTTTGGGGTCCAGTAATGCTCTATTGTCATGAACCTTCAGGTACCTTATCACCAGAAAGTTCCTTGAAGAGCCAGTCATTTTCTAACTGTTAAAACAGAACATTGTGCCAGAAAATTTATGAATAAGTGAGCAAATTCTTCAGGAATATGAGAAAATTCTTTCTTCTTAAATACCTTAAAAGAATCATCAGATACACAACTGCATTCATAATATGCATATAATTAGAATTCACTTCTCAATATCATGTAAACACACAGCTTCTTTAACTTACAGCCTTCTCACTACCAACAGTCTTCTTGGATGGCAAATTCAGTCCAGTCTGGCCAGGGACAGTAGTTTCCTCTCCTGTTACGAGAGCCTCATTATCCAGTGCCTCTCGTTCTTCTTCTGCCTCATCCTCCAGAACCAGTGGCTCAGCTGACTGTTCAAATAGCCTCAGTACCCTGTCTGAGCCACAGCTCACCACATATCGACCGTTCGGACTTACAGCCAAAGCACGAGCCTCTCCATGATGAGCCTGTAATGGACTACCATTATGTGAATGGTAAAATCAACTACCTATTTAATGTTCTTTTATTTAAGGTTCACATTAAAGAATCTTGGTGTTAAATTTCCTCCAGTTCAAATTTTTCCAAAGTTAAGTGATGAAACCCGCTGTCCCCTTTTGTGTCATTTTGAAATATACCATTAAAAAAGTCCAAGATAATGACAGGTGGGACTCGATTGGAACATATCAACTTCTGGTTTGTGCTAATGATTTTAATTTACTGCTTAAAAATTTTGATTCAATAAAGTAAAATGCAGAAAGGAGTGTGGTCTGGAAAAAGAATGCCAAGAAAGCAAAGTATATGCCCATGCTTCATCACCAGAACAGAGTAAAAAATCATAATATATAAAGAGCTAATACATCAAAAAAAAAATGTGGTGAAATTAAAATATTTGCAAATGACCATATCAAATCAGAATTTCATTCATGATTAAATTAAGGACAGATCAAATTCGGGGACTGCTCGCTACCATTCACTTCAGAATCTTACATGTCTCCTATCTACAAAATGTTAATATTAAAATATATAGGACTATAGTAGGGGCACATGGTAGCATAATTGATTGAGGCACTATGCTATGAGCCAGAAGGTTGTGGGTTCGATTCCCAATGAGGTCACTGGATTTTCAATTGACCTAATCCTTCCAGCCACACTGTGGCCTCTCATAGAAATGAGTGCCAGGAATCTTCCTGAGGGTAAGGGGCAAAGGCTGACATCCTAACCACTATCTATGAGCCAACTGTCTAGAAAATGTGGGAACCTTCATGTCTCACACCCCTATGAGCCTCAACAGCCTGTTACAGAGATAGGTTTACCTCTATGAGACTACAGTTTTACCCGATCAGTATAAAACTTCAAGAAAACAACACTGAGGATATCTGAAAACAAAGTGTCAGGGGAATGTTTGGATTTCACGACCAGCCAAGCATCTATCAGCTTCTCAAGAAGGACCATACCCCATTAAGTTACTTAGTTTGAGTGGGTTGGCAAGACTGTATTAAACAACTTAAATTCAGGAGTTATCCAGATCAACTTCAGCAGGGAATTGTCTATTTACATGGAGGTAACTCGTGGTTTTCCTGAAAGTGTTGAGTAAAACTATGAAAAACCTCAGTCAGGGTAAAATTTTCCAGAGGGAATTTGACTGTGGTACTTAGTGAACGCAAGCCAGATACATTACTTATATGCTAAACCATTTGAATTCTGCATTATGGACTCATGCATCACCTGCAATGTGATGATCTTGTCAAATGAATCAGCATCCCATTGTTTGACTCTACCATCTTTGCCACAAGTGAAGAACTGGTGTGTTCGGGGTACAAACTGAAGGCCAGTCACTGAATCATCATGAGCAAAGATACTGCGGTGACAATCACCAAAATCCAGACCCCAGATCTTAACATTTCGATCAGCAGAACCCGTAGCAATAAGTGTCGAGTCAGAGCTGATATCCATACAGAGTACAGGCAGCTTGTGACCATACAGCGAGATGAAAAACTGTATAAAAAAAAAGCACAATATTAAAAAATTTTGTAATGCTACAAATGTATCCACAACTTCATAGGTATGAAATTGTTTAGAGGGAAAAAAGGAATGGGTTAGAAGAACTGAAGGAAAAAGGATAGGTGGAATCATAAATGAAATATTTAAGTAAAGAAACTGGAATTTTTTTTTAACAGAGTTAAAGAGAAACAACTATGAAGATGAGGCCATGTCAAAAGAGTCAACATAATAGGGTGCGATACGTATGAGATTACCCAAAATAAAATGGTTCAGCCAAGTACTAGACATCAAGAAGAGAGGAAACAGCTTGCAAGAAACTGAAAAGCAAGGTTTCTGGAAAGGTAGAAGAGAGTGGAGACCTTTTATTCATCGATCCACACAATATAGAAACAATACTACAAGGGGAAGACAGAATCTATGGTTTTTGGGATGTTTCAACCAAAAGTTGTAGCCTATGTAGTCAAGTGCCTTAACCATGGACTATCAGATCCTAAAAGTTTAAGTATTACTGAAGCATAAAACTAAATTGGTTAAAACATAATTCATACTTCCTTATGATATTTGTCTTCACCTTGAGTGAATCCACAAAAAATATCTGAACTGTAGAGTCCAGGAGGGCAACAGCCAACAGACGATTATTGGCTGACACCTGGACACAAAGTACATTCTCCTCCAGTTTCAGAGTCCTTGTGTGGAGGGCTGACAAAACCTTGGCCTTGCTGTCCTTGCTATTAGGGTCAGTAATCAGCTCAAACTGCCAGAACTTCACTGTAGCATCACTTCCACCTGACACACAGCCACGCTGAAATTAAATTGAATTCTTTTTAAGTTCCTAAAGAAATCAGCAGAAATGAACCAGAAAAAGAATAATCATGAAAGATATTGTGGAGAAGATAGACAATAAAATGCTGAGGTGGTATGGACATATGCAAATAACTGGAAAAATATAATTTTCAAAACCTTGGACTGCAGATGGAAGAGGGAAACAAACAAAAATAGAAACAGGGAATTTACAAAGTGACAAAAGGAACAAAATTCAAAGAAAGAGAACTGGAGTGACAATCATAAACCTACAAATGACAGGAAAATCTTACTGTCCAGTGTATATTTTTTTTCATTCATTCATTCATCTGTAATCTGTCAAGACGACAGGTCCACAGTCTCTTCCAAAACAGTTCCTCCACTTGATGAAATCTAGAGCTTTCTCCTTCAAATGAAAATATCCTCTTCTGTCCCCAAGGTCATCCAGCATCTTCTTACATCTTCTTCCTCGTCTTCTGGTCACTTCTATCCACCCCTCTATCTTTCCTTCAATAACTTCTTTTAGGAGGCAGTTACCGCGTAAGATATGACCAATCCAATTAGCCTTCCGTTTTCTTATTTCGTGTAGGATATTCCTCTGATCACTAACTCTAAATAACACTTCTTCATTTCTCACATAATTTGTCCAACTGATCTTCTCCATCCTTCTCCAACACCACATTTCGAAGCTTTCCAGGTGTTTCTGATCTACTGC